ATATTGATTGTGTTGATAGTGTGCACATAATAAAGTATGTAACTTGTACATTAGATATGGAACACATTCTGTACAGTCAGTCTACAAGAATGGTACTACAATGATTTTATGTTGACTGCCAGCTATTTTATTTTTTATAAAACGGGAAATCGGAGATTTTTACTAAGTAATATGTACATATATAACATTCAAATGATTTTACAAATCTAATGAATTATTTTACAATTTATTTACAATTGTGTCGTATTTGCGTTTACTCTGACAACAGACGCGCAAAACACTCGATTATGTTTGTCTTTGTCAATGTACAAAAGACTATTTATCGATCGTATGAATATTTGCTCATAATATTTAACTAATTTATCCATATTAAAACTTTATTAAGTATCTGCGCTGGCATGGCCTAAATATATGATTCGTTGTATTCATTTGTGATTTAAATTTGAATAAACTAGATATAATTATGGAGAACGTAAGAAAATGCTATTGTAAAAAGATATTACTGCATGACTAGTCAGAGTTAAAGAATATAAATAATTCTGATATTCCAGCACTATTAAGAGCTTCAACTGTGCGCACTCTTTACACAACTGATTTTTTGTATCCTTTTACGCAAAAGGTACGGAGTACGCGATGGTGAAAAATGGTTGCATTCAAATGAAAACAGTATACGTGATTAAATGAACTTTTGACCGCAATATTATTAATGAAATCCCAATACGCAAAAGGATCCGAATAAGAAGTCAGTAATAGTTACATCATACAGAAAACCGGGAGTCATTCTAATCCTTAACAACAATAAAATAAATATTTAAAAGTTGTACAGCAGTAAAAAGAAATTGTCTACCATTCGTTCGAAGTAAGTGTACAACAAATTTTCCATTGTTATATTTTTGTATAAGCGATTGGAAACGTTGCTATCACGATGATAAACTATATAAGTGCGAATTTGGTACTAAACGGGAAAATCGTAAAGAATATGAGGAAAAAAGCTTTGTGTTCAATTACGAACTGTTTATCGAGAGATAAGATGTTTAATAGCGTGAATCATGAGATGAGAAAGGTTTGTACGAAATATTCATGTGTAAATGTTTCGAATAAAAGAAAGATCTTGCCTTGGGATATGATTGCTTTTCTCCATTCCTTACGGCTAGGTTTAATTAAGATTTAATCATAATTGTGATGATATGCAAGGCGCGTTAAATGGTATGTAAGAATGCAAACATTAAAGCATTAAAATAAAATAATTTATTTACAGAGCGATGTACACTTCTTTTATATTTAAACTTTCACACTCTTAATACACCTACCAGTATACCGGGGTTCCAAGCTTAATCGTATTACGACTAATCCAGGCATCCTCTAAACTCTAAACGATTGTACAGAATAGTTCCGCTGATGGTAGCAACTAATGCGCGTGTAATACATATATTTACAAAATGATGCGTACATTTGTTTCCTCGTTTTTATTAATGGATTGAATCGTTTTAACGGGTTTGACGTCGATTAAGATCGTCGTTATACTTAATGTTACTGTGTATTACCACATCGAAGTTACATTGAAAGAATCTTTAATAAGGCACCACTATACTCCACGTTTAATATTGGTAGTATTAATTCTGAATCAGTCCGTGACCCGTAATATATTCTATTTTATGCGAATGAAACCATTCAGGGCATATATAAAACAACAGTTTATTTCCTCTCCATACATTATCCATGATCTGCTATGTACACGATTCTGTACAAAAGTTTAGAAAAGAACTAATTTCATCGAGGCTATCACATAAAAAATGCAACGACGATAATAAATATATGTACATCAAAAATCATTCTTGCCTGCGCTCGTACTCATGAAATATATATATGTATGTAGGTACATATTCCTTTTTAAGTTCTGGAGTCGAGATCGCAGGCGATTCATTATTATCTATAAGTAAATTTCACGGAGCACGATTCACGATTTCCATACAGCTCTTTCTTAGACTAAATGCTCAAGCGAATCGAAGAAGTTGATCGTATTTAATTAAATACGATGTCTTGTGCATCGATCACAATAGTGATCATCAAACTCCACATCGCGATAATAAATTACATGATTTCTTAGCTGAATAAAACCTCTTCCCATGCAGTACTACAACCGAAGGGTAAAATTTCTTACAAGTAAAAAAGGAATCCTTCGATCTTTATGCTTTGTAGACGAGATCAACAGGTACCATTTCGTTCCTAGCTTTGCACTACTTAAAAAATAACGAAGAAAAATTACTGATTATTATACAGATTGGTTGGACTTTCGTCCAGTATTTTACAAATTGCGACGTTGCTCTGTACAATCGAAAATAAAATGGTTATGAACACTTTAAGTGGAACACCCTGTATACTATAATTACGAAGATATCCCCCATTTATTCAACGATTTCACTACTTATTCTATCAGTAGAAAAGAAATCGATTGCTAACATCAGAAAATAGAGATTAATTTGAGAAGCCTATTTAATTAATAAATTAAAAGACGAAGCGTAATTGATGTTTCGTGAGATTGTTCTCTTTTGGTTTTCACTATTACAAATAACTATTATAAATAAGATAAAAAATACGTAAGAGATCTATCATTGGAAAAAAGAGTACGCTAATAAAATGAGTATGAATCACAGTTGTCCTTTTCACAGTTCCCACATAATTATGCAAGCTGCATAGAGATGGTACAAATAATGAATTATCAATATTATGCTATGGTAGACTTCTTAGTGGTGTATGACTACTTTATAATGAAATTAGAAGTTGCCGTTTCTTTGGCATGCGAATGGATTTATACATACGTATAAAGCGTATTTGTACAAGGACTCGAATATATTAATGTCGTAAGGAAGAATAAAGAATAATACTTATTTCCCCTCGTATGGAATTAACTAAAGACTTAAAAGATTCGTAACAAAATATTTACGTCTCTTTAGAGAACATATATAATTACTTCGAGAAGGAACTTTCTTTGAAAAAATTGTCTAACTTAAAAAATTAGTTTTTACATGATTATCTTGGAATCACTGACGCGTTATTCAATGTTCTTCGTGTACAAGGTACTTTCAATCGTGAAATTTGAACCAGAGATATCATTATCAAACGTACGTACAATGGTACAGACTTTATCGGCAATGACTATTAGCGGGCGTATAATTTCAAGTGAAACTTATCGAATAACTTATAATTGTTAGCATTGTGTAAAGCCCTATTTATGGACTCGTATCGTCTGGAATGGAATGCTAATACTATTTACAATGTTATTGACTGAACGAACAGGCACACACCTCTCTTAAGAATATAATACAGTTCACTTAGTGTGCTTGTTCTACTTCACAGTAGACATCTTAGTATGATCGTTTCATTATACAACATTGTTCAAGCCCTTAGGGATATGTTTCTACTAGAAGTAAAGTGTTAGCCATCTACAGGTGGTCCTAAGTACACCATAGATACCTCTGTATTTCCATATACAGCAGATACAGATGGGTACAATCTTTTGTCTGGCAGTCCTGTATGTGTATTTAATTTCTTATTAATAATAGAAATCACATTCCACTAAGACTCTACTGTTATTTGGCAAAAATGGGGATACAATACCTCTAAATGCCACTCCCAAAAATTCATAATTTCTTTCAAAAGATAATGTGTTATCATCACAATCTAATATTACCCTAATTCTTTCCCCAACCTGTTAATTACAGAAGATTAAAAACTCACGATACGTTTTTGTTCCCTACAAAAATAAATTAGCGTAAACAAAACATACCTGATATTTTGGAGCATTGTTAAGCAAGGGATAATTCCCTTGCACATTTCCATTGTGTAACAAATGATTATCCACTAGATTCCAACCCCAGGAATGTTCATCAGAGCCTACTAACGCTACATATCCATGGCACAACAAAGGAGCTTCTCTGGTAGCTATGCCTATTACTGCTACCGTGCCCAATGGTCCTTCCCAAATAACTTCCCATGCATGACGTCCATGCCTGAAGCCAATTTTACCTCTGCAAGCATCTGTGCTCTGGGCAACTGGATTTCTACAATTCAACAAATCAGAACACTGAATATTTACCAAGGAATTATAAACACAAATTGCACTTTATTGCTTATTCATTCAGCATTTTATATCGTAACTGACGTAACATCCATAATTCGTTTGTCGTAAAAACACAACACAGTACCATATCGAGAAATAACTTTATAATTCATCGATTGACGTTGTCACAGAGCATATCCAAACGAAACGATTCGTAAACAGAAGATTGACACGCGTTAATGACAGAATCGAAACTTTTACCGGTGCATGGTGAATCCATTCGGCCTAATGTAAATGTTGCGGGAGCAGTCATTCGGGTTCCACGCGTGATAAAATGCACGGAGTTTCGATTTATACGTGGGCACAGATGACAATAAATCGGAGCTGAGTGCTTCTTGGGCCAGTTTCCTGATACAGTGCATCCTCCACGCGTCATTGTTTTCGTCGTTCAAGAAACGGTTCCACCGTTTACACACCAGCGAACAGTTCCTCAACGTGTGCAGATCTAAATACGAAAAAATCACTTCTAAAACATGATCAGACACTCGGAGTGCTATATCGTCCATTTTGCCGGTTCTGATCGAGTAAACGAGCAAAACACACGCGCAGGAACGCCGTGCCGCGCGGCGTTTATCTATATCGAACATGAAAGCTAGTTTCTATGCGACAACCGTGAATTATGTATACCAACAGTGTGTCGTACGAACACGAATTTGAAGAATTTTTACCGCAGTCCCATCTGTTTGAAGAATGGTAAAATTCAGGTTTTACTTATGCAATGCAACGCTCACTTCCAATATTAATCGTGATTCGTGATCGAAGCAGAAGTTTATTTTTCTCGGTTCACGTGTACAGTGTTGATTTCTTATTGTTGCGTTGTTTTTGTATTATTACGTTTTTCTTATTTCATCTTGAATGGAGCAAAAGAACGATACTGTTTCTTTTATAAGCACACCTGGCTTTTGTTCCGACTGCGGGTCAATTCTGCCGTTGTTACGCGATATAGGAGGTGTGAAATGTTATGCTTGCAAAAGAGAATGGGGCCCAGAAGGTTTTTATTATATTTGTTTATTTTCCCATAATACATTTGGAATTGTCAGTAAGTAACAGAAATAATATTTAATCCCAGCTTTTGGAGACATGGCAATGACGTACACCATTCACTTCAATTCGAAAAATGTTTATGACTCGATGAAGCAAAAGGATGAGGATGAGGAGGAAGCGGAAGGTCCAGTTGTCGAAAGAAAATGCCCTCAATGCCAAAATGACAAAATGTCATATGCAACATTGCAGCTGAGATCTGCAGATGAAGGACAAACAGTATTTTATACGTGTACTAAGTGCAAGTACGTTTCTTAATGTTATTTAACATATAAACATATATTTGGCAAATGATTATTGATAATCGATTTTTCAGATTCAAAGAGACAGAAAATTCTTAAGATCTTATTGGAAGTGAAAAAGGATTACTCTGTGTTAATAAAACATAGAACTTTATTCATAATACATTCAACAAATAGTGAAGGGATGATAATAATGATAATAACTTCGTAATACCACTGAAGTATCGTTATATTTTTCTCCTAATTACGCGTGGTTGAATATATTTTTTTCCAAGTAATGTATTTTGAATTGTATATATTTGATTAAATATTTTTGTACAATACGTTTGAATAAAAGATAACAATTAATTCGAGAAGTTCCTATTGATCCGTCGTCGAAACCATTACAGTGGTCCTTTCGTTATAAAATTGTCGTATTTAAACTTCCCTTAATTCTCTCGTTAATATGTCGCTTACGCTACGGGATATACACTTAGGTGTTAACTATAAGTCGCGATAATGTTTTATATTTTTCTTTTTTTTAATAGTAAAGAGAAATAGCCCTATCATATTGAGGAGTTCTTTGACAACCAGTACAGCAACTTATATACACGATGAAAATCTTAAACTATGATACCACTGGAGAAGTTTTAGCGTCTAACATTGATAAAACCAAGACGAAGAAATTTATTTTTCAATTGTAAATAATCATACGTGTGATTACATTCACTTGCCCAGTCTATCGTTACAGAGTATATTCTTCATATAAAATAAAATAATTCTTATAAAGCAATGCGTACAATATTGCCAAGATACTTGGCAAAACAGCGTAAACTATATGAGTGATTCAAGTGCTAATAAACTATATGCCACCACCAAAAACTATTGAATTAAAAAGAAGGAAATACAAGATACTCGATATCGTCGATGATGTCACTCGGATGTATATTCTGTCATATCTTTCACTTTAAAAAGAATTTTAAAAATCACAACCAATACCGGATATAGTTTTCCTTTACACAGAGTTTAACTATCGTATATTGTTCCATATTCGATATTTACTTCAACGAGAAACTAGAAAGGAACATGTGGTACAAATCCGTAATTAAACGAATCCTTGTTACAGTACTGTGTCTTTATAATACACTGTGTTATAACAATGCAATATATTCCACAAGAAAACATTCCTCTCGCTCTCGACGTTTACAAGTCGTCGGCGCTTATACATACAACGATTTTCATTTGCTCGTGCTTCTACAACAATCATTCAATGATTCTTTCATTTATTTATAAGGGGCTAAAAATGGTTCATCTCGAATCTAGTAGGCCTTCGGTGAACGTCTCCGAGAAAATAGGCGGAAAGAATCCTCTTGCTCGTTTTGGCACTCGAAAATGACATTTGATTTTTAATTTTAATACATATATTGGCGGGTATCGGAGAAAATTTCGTTTCGATTTCAATCATTCAAATCGATATCTCGGGTTTCATCCTTCAATTATATACACTAACTCTTCATGTTACATATTGTACATCGAGTATGTACAAGTGGCAAGGTATTTACAAGTGGAATTTGAGGCAGGTGACGAGGCAGGGCATCTAGATTGTCGTTCTTCCCGAATCGGCTTCGTAACATTCGTCCAAGAAGTTTTCCAAAGAATGGTAAAGGTGAGCGCGTGATTGAGCGATTCCGTGGTCTTCGTCCGTGTAGGTCTGCAAAAAGGAATTCAATTTTCCGTTCATTTAGCGTATAAACTTCCTAGTGGATTTACGTTCATTCAGTAATCCGAATCCTTTTTTTTACGAAAGGAATGAACAGCACCGTGAAACGCCGTAGCGTATAATTGGCATTCGAACATTAAAATTAACTGGAATGAAAAACTGGAAATCCCAGCGCACAGTATAAACTGTCATTTGCTGTATGGAATTTAATCGCGTTAAACGCAGTGGAACAGCTATGGAATAAACGCTAAGCATAATAATTTCGTAAACCACTTGAAATAAATACAAGCCGTGCATAGCGAACTTTCATCTCAACTCGCTTTTTTAAATACCTGCTTTTCACGGTGCTTTGGGCAAATGAGGAATTTTATAAACCACGAAAATGAACAGAAATTCTCCATGGTACAATGAGATAATTGCTTAACGTACCTGTTGACGGAACAGTATATCCTTTTGCTCGAGGACCTTTGCGAGCAATAAGGACTGTTGATAATGCACGTTATCATCCAAAGTCCCATGAATTAGATAGTACATTTTATTTTTAATGTTATCCACTTTGTTTAACAGTTGACCTTGCTCGTAGCCGTGTAAATTGTCGTTAGCCATTGGAAGCCCCATGAATCGTTCCGTGTAGATCGAATCTGCGCAACGATTTACAGAATTCTTTATTAATGTAGATCTTCGATATTAAATGAATATTCGACAATGAACAAACAGCTTAGGAAGCGTCATATTGCAGCTTTGAGCTTCGTGTTTTAATTCAAAAGCCGGCGTGAAGGAGGCAACAATTGCAGCTTAGGGACATTCCACCGATTTAATTAAAAATAGCAGCCAGACAATGATCCCTCTCAACGAGAAGAGGCTCTTTCTGGCATAGAGAATGGCACAAACGAAACAGCACGGTTTGCGCGTAATCGCACCGGTGAGTTACGCCCAGCACGCCACTTAATTAATCCTCGAGCCTGTCTGGAAATTGCTTCGCACCTATAATGATCACGATACAACGCCGCGGATATTAAGCTAGAAGCCACATAACCGAAAGGCAATATGAAAACGAGGTCGACCATGAAAAGGGAACGAAGATGAAATACGTGACAATAAAAACAGAGAATTAAAGACAGTACAAGAAAGTATCAGCGATAAAAAATGATTGAATAATTTAACTTATATAGCGTCTGGCGTTGTTGCGAAAACGCTTGTGTTCGATGTTCCATTACGTCGAAAGTGCTATTTTTCTTTGCATCGTTGCGAGGGAAACGTTTCTCGACTTAATAGAAACGTTCTATGTTTTCGATTCGATTTTGTATGGAACTCGATTCCCAAGAACGAATCTCTTTTGTATACGCGAATGTTTTCGATTTTTGTTTTGACTAGCGAAATTTCGCTCGCTGCTATTTGAAACGTGAATGCGAATCGGAATTTTTTCACTGCGTACAAAAGTAAGCTACGTTTTTCTGTCGGCTGCAATTCCGTTTCGATGTTTTTTTTAGTTTCAATTCGACGTCAGAGTAATGCAATTGTTAATTAGCGTGCTTCGATGTACCACATTGTTAATTCTGTTAGCTCTGAGGAATATGTAACTTTATAATGAATTTAATTACTACCTAATGTTCCGAACATCCCTCGAAACCACTGATTCTACATCTATTATTCCCGGCTTTTCATAATTTTTAACATTGAACTGACTGAATTATTAACATTGAAGTGTATATCTATTTCAGTTCGTGAAAGAAATATGGTAAGCAACTTAAAGATGTATGAGCTATACACTTAAACGATGCTAGCATGTTGAATTTGTTATTATAGATTAAAAAGCTACCTGCCAAATTTTAAATCAATTCGATAATAAATTTTTTGACGCGTTTTAGAATATATTTCGGAATTTTTCGATATTTTGACAAAAAAAAATTTTTCAATTTTTCCGAAATTTTTCCAAGGGGTAGCCCTTCAGATTTCGCGAAATTTTCGTTTTTTGCCAATAACTCCCAAACCGCTTGACTTACGGAAAAATTGTATGATACCTTTTTTGTAGAGGACGACGAGATCTACAATTTCCATATAAAAATTCTTCGCTAGCATCATTAGTTTACGAGTTATTTGCGAAAAACGAAAAAACAGTTTTTCGCAAATTACTCGGTAACTATTGATGCTAGCGAAGAATTTTTATATGGAAATTGTAGATCTCGTCGTCCTCTACAAAAAAGGTATCATACAATTTTCCCGTACGACCAACAGTTTAGGAGTTATTAAGGAAAAACGAAATTTTTTTGCAAAAGTTCGCCGTTTCGACGCTGGAATGGTCGGATTTCGTCAACATCAATAAAATGCCAAATAATGATACTTAACTCATTAAATATCGAAATTAGAAGATAAATGCACTATTTTCAATTATAGGAAATGTGTTTTTCTAAGGTACATGAACTTTTGGGATTGACTGTATAGCCAATACATTCTTAAAAACTAGAGAGAAACAAAAGTTAATAAAGGCATAATCTATAACCGATATCTTCAGACGCGACGACGTTTTCAGAAGAGGAAGAAGAGAAAAAAATAAAATAAAATCGTCACTTTAAAAACGTGCATCGACGAGGAAGATCGAACATTCCGAATGCTCGTGCGAACGAACGATTCCGCACGATGAGTTCTTCGTCCGGGAAATAAATCTGGTATCTCGAAACGCGAGCGTAGCAACATGACCTCCACAATAATTGACTCGATCGAGGCTGAAATGAACCGTCGACAAGTCTGGGCTCTCGGCTTCCCCTTCTGCTTCGTTGCCTTATACTCTGGTACTTATAATTCTAGTGAGCAAATCTTCGCGATCGGTTGTTATTTTCTCTGATTCGTTTCCGCTACTTTTGCAACGCGAACGGATATTCTGACGAATTCAACTTAGTAGATAATGTTATTTTCGTTTCTAGGTATTTTACTCGTTTCGACGATTTCTATTACGGATGGACAGGATCAAATTATTTGAACATCCAGATGGAACCAATAAGATTAAACACGCCTGGAAATTACATTTACATGGGTTTAAGGACATTCGATCGTACCTCCGGTATGTGCAGAGTAAATTTCACGGGGTCGAACAGAAGGTTTAACAGATTTGTACATCAAATAAGGAGATACGTCGTATCAAATTCGTGTCCAATATACGTTTACGATTATGGCAGGCGTAATGAGCAAATATCGTTGATGAAAGTTTGAATATGTTAACGAATTGATCACGTAGAACTGTCAAGAACTCGAAGTTTTAATTAAAAACAGGAAGAGGACGATATCGTAAGATGGAGATGCGCTCAGGCTACATAAAAAGTGAATTGCGTGCATGTGAAAACTGATAAGAGAGGAAAATATGCCGTGGTGTAAGGAATATTTAATGTTCGGGGAACAAAAGGACTATAAAACAGGAGTGAAGTATGCGGCGTTCAACGGATGAAAATATTATCTCTCATGGACGTACCGTAAAGAGCCCAATCTGTTACAGGTGCCACGGACATGCCGCACTTGAAGACACCGTGATAATCCTTGGCAAGCGTCATGCCTGTCGCGTATCCACCATAACTCCAGCCCCATATCGCCGTCCGGCTACGGTCGATGAACGGAAGTGTGTCTTGTAGGTATCTGCAATCGACGGGAAAATCTGCTTGTTAATGAAATCGTCGACGATAAGACATAACAATCGCACCATTATCCTTATTTCCAGATATTTAATAATAAAAACTTTGTTTATTATATAACGAGGAAAATTGAAAATTATAGTTTTAGTGTTTTAGAAATGAAATATTTTTATTTCCTAGTGCCAATAAAGATGTGGACGATTGACTGGGCGGCGGGCGTGTAGATTCATCGGTTTAGCATTATACGCGGCAGTAGTAATAGTATGTATAGTACTAGTAGTATAACCCACGTGGCGCCCGCCTTCCGGGCGCGTACTTCGTATCTGCGGGAGATACCGCACGATCGAACTGTCTAAGTATATACATACACTTCGACTTTCGGCTTCTTTGTTCTTTAGAACAATCTCCAGTTCTCTTCGACTTCTCTATCGTTCTCCACCGCGCTATGTTCATACACCAGGCTTTGCCAAATTCTGCTTGATGAAGGCAAAGCAAATACCAACATAGTTTAAATCCGAGATTTCCCTCTACATAGCTCCGAGCCCTGCGTGGATTCATTTTCTTTACCTCAAGCACGCTTCAGAGAATTTGCGCGAGACACTCGACTCTCGTTCAAAATGCGGACACGAGAATTGACCGCGCGTTTCATCAGCCGAGGACAGCTACTCGACTCGTTGTATCTATTTTTCAACAACAACAGAACATACGACGAGCTTTCATGATATCCATCTTGCTCGAACAGCGAATGCAACTCGGACACCGATGCATAATACATTTGGTGAACGAGCTCTTAGGGGGACGACATTTATTTTAGCGAGTGATCTTTTAACGATATTTATGGACGACCCAGAGAATTTCGAAGCTCTCGAACCTCGTTGCCTCTCCTCTCACTGCTTCAAAACTTTTTCTTCCTTTGTGCGTTTCAATCATTCCGTGAATTTTATAAACATATAAACGAGGTTGCCTCGTGAGCCACGAGTTTACGGGGATCGAGACGAGATACTTCGTGAGCTTTTTATACGCTTTAAAGTCGTTCCGTGAGTAATGCGAGAAATATATCATTCCTTAACATCTACGCCGGGGAAACTGGCTACGAGAAAATTAGCCGGAAGAAAACATCAAGCGCTTTTCCACTGTGATTCTCGACTCTCGTGTTTTCTCAATATTCGCGTTATTCGCGAAATTGAGTTGCACCTTCAAAGCAGAATAAATCATTCGAACAAGAACATTTCCCAGTCATTTTGCAAATTAAAGCGAAAGTTATATTTGAGGAAGTTTGCTTCTTGGACTTTCCTTAGATATTCAGTGGGATAGACACGACACCCGAAGTCTGTTAACTTGCAAGTAGGATGTCCTGTAGCCAATCAACGCGGGTTTCCCTTCCAAAGTAGGCCCGACGCTTTCACTAAAGCTCGGCCGTCGGAAAGAGGGTTCGTGGATGGAAATCAGAGGGATACAAGGTAACGGGATAGTCGAGCTTCAAACCCCAACACCAGAGTTTCCAAAGAACTGCGACCCGAGCGTGCGTCAGGATTTTGAAGTCCCGCATCCTGCGCCCTGTTCCTCTCCCACTGCACTGCGTCATTCCAGCTACAACTGGATCTGGGTTAGCCGGCGAAATCAAAGTTCCCGGATCTTTTCCGAACCGCCCGAACACTGTTTGCGCTTCAACGTTTCCGAAAATCGGAGTATCCCAAGACAAATCCGTATATTCAGATCGACGACTTTTGGAAACGGTCCAAATATCCTTCGATCGGCCAAGAGAAGATCAATATAGATTCCCACATCTGATATCAACGGGATTATAAAAATAGGGGAGAACCGTATATTATTCTCTAATCTCTTTTATATAAAATATCTTTTTACATAGACAAATGACAGATAAATGTTTTTAGACGTTTTTGAGATCGTACGCCTTCTGCTTTCAAAGGAAAATGGTTAAATATGAAGTTACACGGACCATAAGGTCTCAATGAAGACGAAGGGTGGTCGGTATCGCAATGGACTAACGTTCTAGCGACCGGAAGATGCATTCGATGTTCTCTGTCGGGGGAAAATACGCGATTTCCGATCGGAAAGGGTGAAAAAGGAGCCGGTTCCTTCCAATCTCTGCTACGGCTATTGTCTCCGGCTCGTGCTCAATAATAATGGTTCAAAGGGGAGTTGCGGCCACGCGGTTGCCCATAGAAATAGAGCACTGCGTGGTACACGAAGGACGAATTCCGTTTTTCCCGAAATTTATTTAGCTCATAAATCGCCCGAGTCAACCGCCGCATCGGATTCTATTTTTGCTTCGACCGATGTTGTTTCGTGATTCTGTTTTTATTTGCCGGCTCGACCGCGAGCAATCGAATTTTACCGATGGAATTTCATTTTTTGAATCATATGGCCGCTTTATCTTCCATACGGGACTTTTAACAGCCCACTCGTAAACAAGGCCACGTTCTATTTTGTTCTCGGATTCTATGTCGAGATTCTCGCGGAATGGACCGGTACGCTTCAAGTGTCTTTAAGAAATCAATAAAAACCAGAACAAAGGTGTGCGCTCTCTTGTACGAAAGCTAATTAGAGCATTCGCGAGACGGTTTCGATAATTGGCCGGAGTCATTGTCGCGGTGGTTGGAGGCGATCCAGATGTTTGTAAGAATCGTTATTTTTCGCTATGCCTCGCATGATTGAAGTGGGTCGTTAGTTTACGGCGGCGCCGAGGAGGTCTGAAGTTTAATCAAAGTTTCGATGGTTGCTCTTGTTCCCGATACCGATTGTCGTATCGAGACCATTCCAGCGAACGCTGACAAATGAACGGGGGCGATCGGAACAATTCTACGGATTCGCAGAATGGATTCTAGTCTAATTAGGATTTATGAGATGTTACGTTCAATGCCCGATTTATCCCATGTGGGAAATAGGATTCGAACGAGGCAGAAACTAATTACTATTAAAGGAAACATCTAACTCTAACGCGATAATTCCATGAAACTAATAGAATTCTCTGAGCTAACGAATTTTTACATTAAAGTTTCTATAGTAATCAAAGTGCAGTGTCGTTTGAAAACATTCACTTAGCAAAAAGAAAGAATTTCTTTTACTTTTACAGCTTAATTCAATTCAACAAAGATTCGAACCGAAAGGATTGAACACCTGTGTTGAGGAATGCAATCGCGTCGAATACCGGCGCCGAACGCAAACATTGGACGGGCGACAAGGGTTAAGTTTGCACCCGGTTTGTACCTTCTCTCTCTTTTCGGTTGCCCATACTCCGCTCTGATGGCTTGTTTTTCACGTGCGGTGTGTATTTTGTTTCGTTCTTCCGTTTCTTCCTTTTTTTTTAATTAAGGGTTGCTATACGTGCGAACCGATACATCCGCGAATCGATGAGGGGGAGCGAACGCGATAAATTGAAATCCGAGGCTCTCGAAAATAATCGAGCCACCGTTTTTTCCCAACGAACACGGGTCCTCTCCATCTCCTCCACTATCGCGTGCTGAAATTTTTCATCCCTATCCGCCTTCGGCATTGTGATCCCGCGTTTTAACGAAACAACCAATCAAAGGAGGGTGCATCGGCTGAATTGATCCACCGCAAAAAAATCTTTCTTTTTTTCAAATATTCCTGAAAACTTCCCAGTCCCTCTTTCCTGTTATTTCATTTATCGACCATATGTATCTTTACTAAATGGTGTTCTTTTTCTGTACTTTACTCATGTGGAAAGATCGAGTTCAGAATTAATTAATTGTAACAAATAATTGTGAATACGTAATCTAATAAAAGGAGAGTGCAAATGAACGAGTAGATAGGTAACGATCTCGTATCGTTTTTTCATCATTTGTTTCTGGAGAACCCGAGGAAGTAATCAGTATAAGATCAAAGGGCTTAAAGGAGCGGTTCGAGAGCCAGTAAGAGAGAGCCGGAGAGTTTCTTTAATCAAGCGCGATAATTATGTTCGACGAGGCTTGTTTGCTGAATTGTTTTCGACAGATCGGATCGGATCACTTTGTGGTTCTCTGTTTAATTAACTTCGACGCTAGTGCTGTCAGGCGTTGGCTTGTTGGAAAGTGGCTCCGGATCAAAGAGAAGAGAACGCAGGCGTGAGATAACGCGTCAGCAGCGAGAAATCTGTCTGGCGATGGTTAATGCATTTAAATGTAACAATAATAAATTTCAATTTGCACCCGCTATTAACGCGTCACTCGGTGCTAATCTGCATCTGTTTTTCCTTCATAGCCAATCCCTGTTTCACTCCTTTCCTGTTTCCTTCCTTTCCTCGTTCTCCTCTCGTAAATCATATTCGCCCGTATCCTTCAAGCTTTCATCTCGCCGGTCTTACCTCCGCATCTCATTACCTTTTTACACTTCATTGTATCGACCTTTCATACAGCTCCACGCTTTGTATTTCATTTCTCTCGCGCTTTAACCCCGCATTCTATTTTTTTTTATTTCGTTTTACTGCCTCGGCTCCTTCAATTTCTACCCGTGCCGCGTCGTTTCTCCTTTTTAATCCTCGTTAACTTCGCGAGATTCGGCCACACGGAACCTCCACACTCTATTCACCCTTGCTTTACTCGGAAAAGTAAGGAGTCTTGGGTGCTCGAACCAAGTTTGACTCAAACTGTTCCACGAACATAAATACAAGAAAAACAGGAACGAAACAAGCTTCCCTCTTTTAGATAGAAAGCGAGCTGTCATTCGCGCGGACACCGTGCCAAATTCATCGTTGCTCGATGACGCGGCGCGTAATATTCATCGTCCTCGATCGAATTCACCCCTGAATGGATCTCTCGAATCGCGGGTGGAAAAAAAAAAAAGGAACTTATCTCTCTCGGTCACCGGGTTGGTTATTCACCAATAGAGCGTACGTCGAACAGCAACAGCGGTGGTTCGACGGCGGGACAAAGCAATTCGGGAAAAAGCGAGCAGGTGTATAGGGGAGGACGAGAGGTGCACCGAATACGCGGAAGAGGGGGACGGCCAGATACCGAGGAGATTAATTCGGTGGCTTTTTCGGAATTTCTAATGGACGGGCGACACTGAGATAAATGCCGGATATCTAGCGGTTGTTTAATGGTACCGGTTTAAAAAAGTCCGCGCCCATTCTATTGAAAATTCCTGCAGTTATGGGGGGATAGAATTTAATAAAAAGGAGCCCATAAATAGTGGGTGCGTGAATACGAAAGCCTAAATAGTCCGCTCGCTTCGCTACTTATCTCCTGCATTGTGAGGACAAATGCAGGATATTTAGGGGTTTAGTAATTCTTTTTAAAACTGTGTTCTGGTGAAAAATTTAGTAGTTATGAAGCGACAGGGTTTAATGGAACGAAGAATAACGGATAATAGGAATTTCCAAGCGAATATCTGAATATAAGAAGATTTATTTTCAGTTTAATGTTTAACTTTTAGGTCAAAGACATAAGAATTATTTGTTAGAGTTTTAAGACCTACACTCTCCGAAATTCCTGTCGATTGCAAATCAATAGAATTTAGTAAAATAGAAAAGAGGTCGTCACTGAAAATTCTCAAGTGACTGAACACCAGAGCCATTTCACTCCAATGGTTTCCATTAGGAACTTTTATTTACCGACCATATTAACCGCTTTCCGCAGAATCTATCCTAACAACGTCATTCCCATTGTTGAAACGAAAGACGTAGAGGAAGAGAGAAAGATTGATAGCGATCAAAGTAGAAACGGCAAAAAAAAAAGGTGGAGAAACCGGAGGAAGAGCGATGGCAAAGGGGGAACGCCGATAAAAAGTGAACGACGTGGAAGTGGTGGATGGGGAAAGTGCGGAGAGAAAAAAGAAGGAGAATACGAAAGAAACACCGTGACGGGGGAAACAGCCGGGAGAACGGAAGAAAAAGACGAGGGAACGGACGTTGAAAAAATCAAACGAAAGAGAAAAGGAGAGGGGGGGACACGGAATAAGGGGGGAAACGAAGGGGATGAGAAACGGTGACAGGAACGCAGGCTCGACGACACCCCGCGCAATAGGGCGGAGGTTAAAGAGAGCTGGCCGATTCCGCAATCGCTTGGCCCGGTTCCAATTTCACGACTCGCTTTTTACTGGCCGGACGCGCTCTGCGACGCGCCAGCAAAACATTGCAACGTGAATACCGGCTCGGCCAACGCAGGGCCGCATCCCCTCGTTCCTTCAAACGTTTCTCCGCGTGCTCTCGCGTTTCGCCGGCTATCCTGTGTGAAGATAGCCGTGAACTGGAATCAATAATTCGCGAAAGATAAGCCACTGGTCACTCGTTTCTTTTTATTCGATTTTATATCTTGCAATCGGTCTTTTTTCTTCCGCTCATATTTTATCGGTGATGGCAGCTCGGGGATTAACTCTAGACCATTTTTAGACTTTCTAATTACAGGATTCATTCGATGGATTATGTCCATCGATCAAATGCAAATTTTAAGTTATCTTTTAATTACCTACGTGGCTAAAATATTAAGTGAAAATAACAATTTTCTCAGTAATAATAATAGCCAAGTTCACACGTGCATCTAACGTGAAAACAAAATTTACATTCATTCTACACTCTGTAACGATTACTTGCAACGTCGAGCGATTACGGTAAGAGAATTTGCAAGTCACGGAGAATTAAACGAAAGACGGTCGTTGTTCGCCGGTGTTCGCAAGAGAGATTTCCTGATTGCAGAAGCGGGGGTCATAAAGAATATAATATCATGGGGATATTGGATTTTATTAATGCATTTTGGAATTAATCCCTTTATCCGGATCAGAAGCACCTAAATCCTCTTTAAGTTATCAAACATCAAAATTATTCAGAGAACATCCGAAACCTTAGCCAACTTTTCACCCAAACGGATGCCACTCTAAAGTACACGACTCTTTCTCACTACTTTATCTCAATCCGTTCATCCTAAGAGTCACAGTTTCAAATCGAAATTGCATAATCTAAAATAATGTTTTTCAATCCACAGAATGCAGGAGAAAGCGGGGCAGATATTAATCTTGGACAACGACGTGTCGTGTATCATATCAGGATTTAGTATTCGATTAATAATCAGTTTTTTCGTGGGAACAGGTACGATCGATGAAAAACAGTCGAAAAAGCAGAACTACCCGCAAGAATTGATAGTTCCAGGCTCATCACGAGGAAAAAGTGGTCTGACCGTGGAGACGCGTATTCGGTGGAGCGAGACTTGAACGTGGCGCGAGTTTGTTAGCCGGATTAACGGATTACCGCGTCGTCTCCCGATAAGTCAGCGTCTGGCATGGGTGCCACAGGGACGGAGAGGCTCTTCCTATAATTAGATTCGCCGCCAAGTCACCCAGGGAATTTCAAGAAACGTTCCCGTCCCCTGCCGTGTTCCACTGTCTCTTCTCGACGAGATCGCGTCCTTCTGCTCTTTGTTTTCCCGGTGGTCGCGGTCTCGGTGCTGCGGCGCCGGTGGGTGTAGCGGTTGCGCGGAGAGAAAAATAGGGACATTTGAATTTCGAGGCCCGGAAAATGTGGGAAACAGAGACGGAACGAAAAACGAAGCTATCGTTCCTGCGTCGTTAATTTTGCACGCGTCGCGGTTTCGGTTTCCGACCCACAGCAAAGCTCGGCTTTTTTTACCCCCTCTCACCTTTTCCTTCCCAAACTCCTTATGTCTGGTTTTCGTATTCAATCAATAATTAATGTGATTTCGTATCCTTCGTTTTTCATAAACTACGAGATACTAATTTTTTATGTATCGCAATTCTGGCTTTGATAAAACAGCGTTAAATTTGTGGGGCATCTGTTAAATTTGCGTAATTCGTTCTATCAAGCGGATAAATCAAATTGGGAAGAGAACGGGGAAAAGTGGAGTGGAATAAAAATGCAAGGGACGAGGACACGTCATAAATTGACTTATCTCGACATCGACCGCAACATCGGTTCGTTGGGAATCGCAAAAAAAAAAAATCGCCTCTCGGTATAAATATAAATCGGTCGCAGTTCTATCGCTAACGCACGAGCATTAAAAATGCATAGAATAACAAGGGCAATGCGTCGTCTTTTTGCATTTAAAACGACCGGTAGCGGTGGTACTCGATAAATTGCATCCGGGGACATTTTACATATAAATAGAGAAGGCGAGAGCGAGAGAGGGTAGAAGGGACAAGTGGTACAACGTAGAGAACAACGAAATTAGGGCCGGTGCCCGCGATCAAAGCCCGTTGAGCTGGGACAACGACGCACGACGAAACTATAACGCATTAAAATCCATTTGCATTTTCCCACCCCCGTCTCCTGGCCTCATCGAATTGCTGACATCGGCAATATTTTTCCAAAAAAAAAGAGGAGGAAATTGCGTCGACTGTATTTAAAATGCAAAATACCGTTTCGTTTAAGATGCAAACACGGCTTTTTCCCTAACGATGAACCGGATTAATCCGAGCCTTTAACGTATACACGAATTACCCAAGAATGCACCGAGACTGAAACACCGCAATTCATGATCGTGATCGATCGCCGTGCCAAATTTGATGGCAAAATCGAGTTAGACTTCGTTCACCATTACACGAAATTACAATTGCTATTTGTTCCGCGATTAAAATACAAGAGCGTCGACAGCAACTTCCGGCAGGATCGAGTCGAAGCCGGTTTAGTACGACGAAATTAGAATTCCATTTGCACTTAAGTCGAAATAACGAAACTGAAGAAGGAACTAGATCGTATCGCAGCATGCAAACTAATGACGTGCTGTTCGTGTTGAACGATACGGAGCTGTCGCGTCGCGTCGAGTACTCACCTGGTTACGTTGATCTGATCGGCGATCTCAACCGTTCCCAAGTTTCGATATCCGGCGAATAGCATGCCGTTGTCCATTAAACCGGAGCCCCGGCCGTCGATGGTCGCGTAGATGATACTCTTGTTCGTTACGAGATACGTGCCCCAATCGACGTTGAACTTCTCCGTGACCTGATACGAATCTGGCCCGCCGTATCTGCGCATATGAGATTTGATAAATTACAATTGCTGCACGAACGATTGTTGTCGCTTCACAATCTACTGTCGTCGACAAATACAATCTGAATGCGCGGTGATGTATGCACTCATGTTTGTAATATCAATTTTAATTGGATACGTACGTAATACAATGGAATAATTTTGAATATGATTAGATGATTCGTACGAAGAATTAATATCGAAATTACAATTTATATGCATATAACTTAATGCGGTAAAATAATTAAATTTAAACATGGATAGAATTTATAGAATTCTTGTTAGAATTATAATCTACAAAAGGAAATCAATTTGTACAGTTAATTACGCGTACGTCCGGAACTGATTTATGCAGATAATAATTTAATAAGACTCAGTTTGTAAAAAGTAGCACAAGCTGCTATTACTATGGTCGCTATATTCTGATAAATTAATACCGATGAAATTCAATATACGATAAAATTTGTTTGACTCTAATTGATTTTCCATGCGTGTAACATTATTTCGATGAAATTGAACGGTCTCTTCATGAAACCAAACGATGGAATGTATAATTCCGATTGTTCCTTAGTTTTTCTACTCCGCGGCCAAATCGTGCGGTCGATGATTACCGAACAAGTGGTCGCGATCCTAGGTTTTTAATTTCCTATTTCACCAGGAATCGTACGCACGAGCGTGTGTACATACGCGTGCCTGGCAATTAACAGACGATTCAACTCGAGCAAATCAAGAAAACCTAACACGATTCCGGACTCAATTCAATTATTCAATTTAACGGAAGTATTTCTATTTGTACACAGTCTAATCAACTTTGAACGAGTTCCGGTGTGCGTAATCAAATTTTCGGAACTTGAATTAACGTCCGTCGTCGACGAAATTAATCGAATCACCAACACGGATCAGATCCGTCAATTAACTGTCTAACAGTTCGCTGCAATTTCGCTTCTATCCGATCCGCCAGCGACTAAAAACTGTTTCCAAAAAAAGTGAAAGCACAGGATTCTCGTGTCACTGATTGAACGCACGGACTAAAAAAAATTGAAAAAAAAAAGCAGAACGATCGCGTAATACACGAGATATTAATATTCACGCAATTTAGCCGACTAATTTCGAACGGATATTCATAAAAATTTACGGGTCACGTTTACACAGCATCGAATGAATTTCACAACGATATTTCGGAACGTTTCGCGACACCTTCTGATAGGACAGATGGTGGCAAAAAGTTTTGATAAATGATACGAGGCTGCGGCCGACGTAGCCGCCACGCCACCGCGTTTTCTCTCTCTCCTTTTCTTTCTATGTCTCGTGCGCCGTTCGCCGCGAATAATTCCGATCCGTTTCGAAGACATTAAAGCGTATTCATGGCGGCGCGGTGCTTCCGCATTTGCATGCGAAAAAAGGAGATACACGGTAAAAGCGGAAACGGAACGTCCGGGGAAATCAACCTCGATTCTAAACGATTATTTTATATTCACGGGTGAAAAAAGGAATATCGAAGCTGTAGATTTCTCTGATTTTAATCACGATTCATTCGTTAGAGATCCGATGGTTAGGTGATTACTCACACGAAGATGAGCATAGGATATTTGACGGCGCCAGACAAATCGGCATTGGGTGGAATCAGTAGTCTGACGCGGGCCTTGAATCCCCCAGGAACCGGGACCTTGTAACGACGCACCACCGGTTGCGATTTCTCTGCGATGGTCTCGGAGACTGCCTCGTTATCCTCCCACACGAGTAGCTTCGTGGAATTCTGAAAGTCGTATGGAAATGTGACAAACATCGTTCCCGTGCACCAAACCAGGAATGGCTGATATCTTATTTCCATAATTTTATAAAGATATTCCATTTTCCGAAATCCTTAAATTTATCTATGATATTTCGATACTTATTACACATTTATCAGGAAATTATATAATTTGCATTATTACGTGAGAGGCATGAAGTTTCAGAGCATAACAGGAAGTCCAATTAAAATACGATCATTTTACGATTCAACTTCGTTATAAAATTGATTACTGTAAATTAATTACGAGGTAAAACAATTTCAAATTAGTGCGGACTCGTGTAGCGAATGCTGATTTAATTACAAGTGAAATTTTGATACCACGTTGGTTTTCATTTATGTGTTTAAATGATTCAAGAACGCCAAGTTTCGCGCTCTGATTCCTAACATTCGTGCCATTACTAAATTGCCTGTGATAAGATTTATTGACTGCATAAAATATGCGACTCCCACGCGAGGTTCGAGATTGTTCAATATTAACGCAAACAGCGGGCGGAAGTGTTTGGCGGAAAAACAGTGGCGTCTAACGTCGAGTCGATACCAAAAACAGTCTCGCTTTCCTCTCGGAGGACCTCTCCAAACTTCGACCCTTAATTTACCCTTATTTTACTACACTGCGCAACGCCATCCTCCACGGCTTGCCACCAGAGGATTTTCCACGGTGATTCCTATTCTAGCAAATTCTCGGCTCTACCCACACGGCACACACAGACCACTTTCAATGGAGTATACGGGGTAGTTAGTACCGTGAAATCTCTACTTTTCTCGATTTTCACGAACCCTTAGAGAATAATTCCACCGAGGAGGCGTATATCTTCGAAGGCAGTGGAAATAAGAGGAAAAACGTGCTAAATACCATCGAGATAAATCTCTCGTTACTCTCCAGAAAACCTGAAGACGTTCTTCGTTGACGGTCGGAAGTTATCTAAATCTACGAATTCGTCAACGGCGCAAGAAACGAACTCCGCTTGTCAGGCTTGTTATCGTCAAAGTTCGCAATCGCGAAGGCTTTGACGACTTGCGAACAGATGTTCCAACTTTTAAGCCGTAGTCGTGTGAAAACATCGAACAAGCGGCGGAATTTTTGCTCGTGCTCAGTTCTACGCTAAATCTTCTATAGACTACTTTTTCGTCTTTAATGGAATTAAAACTAAACACATAACTTGAGTTAGAGGAACAGAAGTCGGGCGTTAAATTCGATACAAGAAATTACGACTTGCAATTCACTGGGATCCGAGAACGAGAATAAAACGAGATTATTAATTCCGCCTCTTAAGGAGCCGGTGGTACGAGTGCAATAAAATCAACAGGGATAAATTACTGTGATATTCAACGCCCTCCGAAACTCCTATCAGCCATTTATCTCATCTTACAAAACTCTCTTTTCCGATTTAAAGTCACTGAACAAAGTGGTTCCCCAATCTCGACATCATTGTTCGCCGGTAGACGGTAAAAACAGAACACTTCTCTTAAGGGAAGGAAATTAGTTTCCTCTGAGAGTCTGGGACGTTTATACCACGAGGAGGACTGATTATCGGCTGTAATCGCGCTGCCTCGACGAGAATCGAATCTCTTTTTTCTCCACGCTCATTTTCATCAATCGCCCTCTCGAACACCATCCCTTTTTCACGAGGGTGATAATCTAATTACGAGGACAGGATAATCGAGGCTGCCTCTGGCAAAGAGGCAACGTAGCTTCCACAGTGAGCGCTTTTTATCATCGAATCGAACTGTCGTTCGAGCATTCGTGAATTCGAAACGAACCCGTTTATTGAAATCGCGATACTTAGCTGTAAAAAACCCAAAGGCAAAGGAACCAATCGTTTGACCTATTAGAAACGACGCGCGAAGTAAATTGATATCAGCGTTTGGAAGCTGCGAATAGTATTCGGATCACATGACTGTACGTCTCGAGTTCTACGAGTTCTCGATGAGAATTCCAATAGACGGAGAACGGAAAGAGAGTCACAAGTGAAAAATTGATACGTAATTTTGCAGTAAAAATCGCAATGACTCTTTTTTTTAAATAATTCGGATGAAGTGAAATGGTTCAGTTTGAACGTTTGGAAACGTAACGACAGAAATGAATATTGCATGCGAATGAATTTAAGAGCAAAAATTGGAATTCTGTTGGAATCGTGCAATATCGATTTCGAGTAAAACTTCAGTGCTATTACGTACGCATGTTAATTGTCATTGAAGTATGCACGCACGGAGGCGGCACAAAATGGCTGAACGAGTTCGAGCATGCTTGTTAAACGGTAGGAGAATTTATTTAATTCGACTGGCTGATAACATTATCGTGTCGCGTCTTGATAAACGCGATAACGACTGCGCAACAGAATACCAATTTGTTAGGTGATTATAAAGCACGCAATGTGATTATTTATACTCCGGAGATATCTTTTTAACGCGCGACTGAAAATCTCTTTCCTCGCGATTTAAAAGTTTGATACTTGCAAGGGATAGGAATAAATTAATTCAATGTTTTCGCGAAAATTTTTCAAAGTCCCCGGGGAGCTAAAAGTGGAAAGTAACAGAGCCGGGAAGTAAAAAGGTTCGCGACGAAGCAGAAAGACGGCTGAGAGACGGGCTTGAAAGGGCGAATTAAGAAATTAAATTAAAATTCGATCAAGAAGTTGAACGAGGGTGGCGCGAGGCATCGCGTTGCGTCGGTGGACGGGTTGGAAACAAAATTGCGAGATTGCGATAACTTCCATTTTCGTTTGAACATTTTCAAATAAACTTTCTACCCTTTTAAATGTGGGCTAGGAAAATTAAACTCACTGGGAAAAGCCTCGAGGGAGTAGGCGGAGATAAGAGCTGCTGACCGAGGTTATGGAAATTAAAGAAATTACATTAAAATTAAATCGAGGCCGAGTTTCATTTCGTAACAAACTCACCGTCCTCACGAAAAAACCACACTGAAACAGACTGTCCGAACCAAGATTCGCGGGTGAGCAACTTTTTCTGAAATGTACTAACTCTATCTCAAATTAAAACGTTTCTGTCGTACGTCACGCGACATTATCCAGGGCTAGAAAATTGGATAGTCGACGACGAAGAAAACAAGGATAGGAGACGCCAAGAGAGTTAAGAAATCAGGTCGATGGGAATCCCTGAGAATTTACAATCAACCCCTGACACCGCTTTCCATATTCCCAAATAAATTTTGCAGCGGTGGCGCCGATGCGATCGGCGGAGCAGATCGTCCGAGTAAAGCTCGGAGCCGGTCCAAAACTCTCGCAAGGATAAGATGAAAGGGGTAAAGAAGGTTTTAGTCGAGCTGGAAGTTCGGTGATATCGTGGATCCTGAAATCGAGTCGAGTCGCTAGGATTTGCTCGCGCGGATCTGTCGGCATCGTTCGCAGAGGACTCCTCCTTGACAATAAGCGACAGTATAAAACATAGATTTAGTAAACGTGACCTCGCTCGAATGCCGCTGTGACACTTTCGGAACACTGACAAATAATGCGGCCCCATGAAGGATCGTCGATTTATTAGTCGAGTTGCGCCACATGAATCCAATGGCCCCTCTTCACTTTTCCAGTGATCGATGAATATTTTTCAGTCGCCCTCTTCAAAAGAAAAATCATCTATCCGTCAAAATCTATCTCTAATGTTTTAAAGTGAGAACCTTTTCTAAAAGTTTCGATTAGATAAACTAAAATGATGGCTTCTTACAGCAATAACGGCGATATAGTAACCAAAGAAGCTCGAATTTCTCAAAAATATTGCCTCAGAGAAAAGAACGTTGTTCCGTTTTATTCATTTTTACATTTATTAGAATTACTTTTTCTAATATACCAATCTGACTTCAAGAGGAATAATTCATAGACATAGCTTGATAGGAGACTGCTTTTCAGGAGAATAGATATGAAACATAAGGGAACTCGTTTTGTTCAAACTGTCGAGGTACTGTCAGTGAGAATGACGAAATGTATTCGCAAAAGTTATATAGAACTTACACAGATGCGAAAATTATATCAGATGTCTGGGATTAAAGTTCACGGAGGCCATAGCAAACAGATTTTCGTGGCAGCCGTAACGGATTCCAGACTTTCAAGTTGGATATAGAATATCGCCGGTGAAATATACTGAGCTGCCACTTTAGTCGAGGCGCGAGGAAAAGTGTGAAATAGCAGGTGAAATTTGAAAAAATAAGAAATATTGTTCCGCCTTATTCTCAGGGAATTTTCAACCACCTCATATGCTTACAACCTCTTTTATGGTGGAGAGAATAAGGTCGATTAATTTAATAAAAAAACAATTGATTACATTTACCGGGAAAAGATCAATGTTTCCTTTAAAGGGTAATTCTATCCTAAAAATGGAACAACATCCACCTCGCGAGCCATCGGCTTCTTAAAACGGCGACCCTCTTTCTAAGAAAATTAATTTTTCTCCCGGAGAAAAACGAGAAGCCCACATTTCTCCGTGGTTAATAACCAACTTAGCTCGGCAAATAAAATCAGCCTCTTATTTCAAACAGCACTATACTTTCCGCGAACGAATAAATGGCAACGGCATTTCGTTTTATTCAAACAAGAGGCAACAGTAATCTTGTTCAAACGAATTAAGAAGCCGAGAAAACACCTCGCCGGCGTTTTAAATGTTTTTCGACAGTTTTCTCTCATTGGCTACTTCTTGCCAAACGAGATACCCTTTAATCCTCCGCAAACGAATAAAAAGAAAATTAAGAAAATGTGTCTCGCTATTTGGAATTTCTTCGAAAGGGAATTCTCCCTGGCATCCGGGCGAAACGTTTACGATAAAAGCAAACGTACACGAGATCGTTGAAAGCGGAATCACGGTCATTCGGCAGCACACTTACCCGGTTGTAAACGACGATGTCAGGTACTCCGGGACCGGCGCAAGTGAGCACGTAATGCGAGTGATCGGTGGAAAACTTTGCGGTGTTGTAGAGGCACCGGTTTCTGTCCGTTTCACGGACGATGCCGCAGCTCAAACACGTCGCCCTCCGATTCGTAGCGTCTCTCGTGGATATCCTGTATAAATGCTGCACCGCGGACTCCTCCTCCGTGGTGGCCAGGTAGTAGCTGCCGAGGAAAACGCAGAATGAGACGAAAAAAGAAGGGGAACGGTAAAACACGGACGAGTAGAAACAGCGGAGAGAGGTATAACGCCGCGTTCATTTACATAGGCTGCTCTTTAATAGCTTTGTAATCGCGAGAACCGTCGCAAATTTGCATTGCAACGAGCCCCGCTTTGTTTACTCTATCTAACCCAAGCACGTGGCAAGATGAGGGGAAAGAAAGTTTTCGATGTACTCCCACTGGTCCCGGTTAGCGCGGTCTTTGCGGTTTTTCCACTTTATCTTTTCCCGAGTAAGCGGCGCACAATCGAGGATCGAGTTTATTACCGCAAACGACCGATGATGTTCAAAGGCATTGATCGACGTTTAAATCAGCATTCGTTAACTGTACTGCGTATGATGATATGAAACAGTACTGATGAAAATATTATCGGAGAAACTATTGTCAATAATTTGAGGGTAACCTAGTTGAACAACTATTGAGAAAGCACAACGTTTCGAAATCGATTTTATAAATGATGCAAGTAGTTATTCGCGCTAACGAGCCGAGGGTAAATTCACCGAATCATCGTATCGGGCCTGCAAAGTTTCGATAGATATTTTATTCATGGACGAACGAACGCGGTTAGGAATTTCGAACTTTGTTATCGAACAAAGCGAATCCGTAAAAGATTACTAAGTTGACTGACCGCGGTGATCAATTACAATCATAGACAGAGAAGAGAACAAGCCGGGGAAATTTATGGTTTCACTTATGTTTCCGCGGAGATCGTAGTCTGGAATGAAATAAGGGTAAGCTTTGCCAGTCCCTGCGACGAACGTTCAGGTTCGAAGCTCTGTTAAGTCTGCTTTATTCCACTGTAGCTGCCAGCACCGCAGGTTTCGACGCGATCAGATCCACCGATTTCCATTTGCATTAATGTGAATCGATTCGTTGGCAGTTAATCAATCCGTGATTAACCTGAATTACGCAGTTCTTTTCCGGTTCAATTCGTCGCCGTGTTCCACTTGATAAAACCGATTAGTTACCGTCAATTTTCATTACGCGTTAACAAAATCAAATGTGTCTCCAGGCGTAAATTAAAAAGAAGATTAATTAATTAGTTTTACATCCACCCACGTTTAATCAATGAGGCAATGCTTCACCGAGATATATAAATTGAGACATTATTACCCAGGGCGAGGTTTCGAAATAAAATTTAACGTAGGAAGATCCCATTTGGGTATTCGACGCTGGCATGAACTACAGGCAAAACTAAATTCCATCGTAACGCGCGTCATCCTCGTCGGGGATGAATTTCCACGACGTCGCGTGATTTTTCTCGGGACGACAGGGCGTCTGTCTCGTGGCGAAACTGCGCTCGGCGCGTACACACCGCGCTTTGCCGCAATCTAATTTGCTCGGTCGCCGGAAAAGCATGAGCGCCGACGCGTCTGAGTAATTTCCGTGGTTCGACGTATCCACGGCCGGATACCGAACAGCCCGAAACCGTCGGCGTTCCTCCAACATTGCAGTTTTACTCGTCCCCGACCTAATCCGTGTCTAATCTAAATCTGCGTCTGCCGACTTACTCCCGACGCGGCGCGCCGGCCAGCTTACGTCGCAATTTCTATGCGCATAGATCAGATGTAGCGGACCCGATTGGACAAACACGGACCCTCCGTGATACGGAGTTGGATTTCACGTGATATCCACGAAGTTTCAGGAGCGACGACCCCTTAACAAATAGACAATCATATTTGCCGTAGAAAATACAGACTGGTGCCCGTTGGGCATAGTAAATATTTGTAGAGACGATAAAAAATATATCAAAATGCCTGACCTAATCGTCTCTTGTACGAACCCACTGGACGACGAGGGTTGATCAGATGTAAATAACGTAATGAGAATGAAACTGGAATCTCCAGCTCCGTTGTCGTACCTGCAACGTTGATCTACTTAGTTACGTGACATTTTGGGCACCCAGTGTATATACGTTATCACCGTTGCATCGTCTAATGCATGTATGCGCCCGTAAAACGCGTACAGTAGTACAACAAAACTGCACGAGCCACGATAAGCCGAATATCCTCAGCTTTATGTGTACGTATCAAATATTGATAAGTACTAGAAAAACGACAGCATCGCGTACGAGTATCGAAAATCGATTACCTTTGCAACGGCGCCGCGCCGGTTTGTACCTACGACGCCGATCTGCATTGAAATGGATTGAATTTGTACGATGGTACTCGCGCCTTCCAAGGAATTCACGATTCGACAATCGTGTACATCTCTTCTCCGTACCGAGCACCGTCCTCGATTACAAACGAGCCACGCAGGCAACCGTATCACTCGCCGATTTTGCTACTCCAATGTCTACGTAAGGCGTTTCGTTCCGCGGCCGCGATAAAACATCCCCTAATAAAGCGAGCAGCGTTCGTTGAACGCAAACGCGACCGCGCGGGACATTCCATTATCTTTAACGGTTATAATAGAATGTCCCGGTAACAAAAACTAATTCTCGCGGCATTGGGCGTGATAAACGGATGCTGCTCGATAACAATTTCGTGGCTACCGAAAAACAGTGTCGTAATTTTTGCTCCGTACACGGAACTCGAATTCGCACCGCGATAACCGTGAAAAGGGGAACGCGTCTCTGGTAAAACGCATAAACCAGCCGACCAAATGCGAACTCGTGTTGTTCCTCCGCGATAAATTATCCGGCGTTCGAAACGAAACGCGAATGCGGAGAAACAGGGAACCAGCATTGCCTGTACTGATCTTGCGACACGCCAGGATGCCGGCAATTAAGTGCCCTTATGTCAAACGCTGAGATTCGAGGCTGTTAGGTCTGATTTATAACGTTCCGCCGCTACTGGCAGCGTTGGGTGCCGGGCGCGCGGCCGGCCTGTAACGCGATCAAACTACTGGCTCCATTTGCATTAATTCGGATCGATTGCGCGCGGCTAACGAACAGAGCGCATCAACCCTCCCTCCGCGAATCGATCCGGATTGTCCACCGCTCTTTTTCAACCGGATTACAGCACGAAAGAGCCGACCGCGACGACTACTGTTGCGTTAAGTATCGATTTTCCGATCGATCGCGACCATTTTTACTGGCTGGGAAATTTTTAAAGCACTGTTCCGACAAACCAAGAACATTTTCCTGGCCGCGCGCGAGAATGTGCTGTTTCTAGTAAAATTGCAGCTCGAAGTACAGAGCGTCGTTACCAACGGAGTTCCACATATCTTGCGAAATTTTTGTGAACTGAACATTCCATCGAGAATATCGAACGTAGTTTCACAAGCTAGAAATTACTATCGCAGGTTTTAATTTCTCAATGCGATGCTTACGGCTCGAAGTTCCGGTCGTTTCGCAGTTTCACTCTCGCGTTTTAATGCTACAGGAAATTTTATAACCGAGTTAGTACGATTCCTGAAGAAGCTTGAGCATCGAGCGCAATTACGGCTGTCGATCGGCAACATACCGTGACGCTGTAAATTATTACTCGCCCGGAGAGAATGGCGAATTGTCGGATAGCGGGTGTCAAATTAGTGAACGCCAAGTTGACAAATCGACAAGGCGACAAATACTAACCCGTCCAACCCTCGCAGCGCTAAATTCCAACCTGGCCAATATCAAATATTAAACAGCAAATGATGGATCGAGGGTGAGTGTCAAATTACCGCGTTTGCGTATGTTGAACGCCAAGTAAATCAGGCTATCAAAATATCATTATCACTTATCAATCTGTAATAAACATAATTTCACATTTACTCTAATTTGAAGGAACTGTTCAATGGTTTTCAATGCGCACCGCTGTCCGCACAAATTATCAGAGCTACGATACAATTCCACGTTCGTTCCAACTACTACAATTTTCACTCGGAGAATAACGATTCGTAATAATTGGAATACATACCGGTTGGGATAATCAATCACGAGGAAAGGATTGATAGGATCCGGGCAATATTGTACATTAATAACGAACGAAACGGGAGAAGCATCGTTGCTTGGTAGCGTTTGCATCGTTATGTATAAGTCACGACTTTGTTCGTTAACTCTAATAGGTGAGTGCAGGGTAATTCAATATCTTACCACGGATAATAGCTTTAGAGTTTGACAACCGTAGCCACAAGATGAGAGTAAACTCTCGACCGTCGGGGAAAATCAACGGGTGGTGTAACCGGAGGGAGGCAGGGTTGGTCAGACCGGAAGGGAGCCGGGAAAAGGGGAACGGGAGCGCAGTTTCGTCGTAGGCAAGATGGATGAGCCTCGGGTCATTCAGAACGGATTAATTTCAATATCCTGTTAATTTGACCTCACGCGTCGACCTTAAACGGGTACAGCCTCTTCCTTTCCCCCGTTCACCTCGACCTCCGTAGTTAAATTCGCCCGCGGGTGCTACTGATGACGTTGATCTTTCGCACGGTGGTGGTCGGGTTCACCAGACGCGATCGAGCTTTAATCGCCGGAAAATAAACGTCGCCGAGGGGCAATTGTTCCCAGCGAACAATCATACCTTTCTCCGTTTTTTTTCATCTGTCTAGTAATACGACTCCCCCTGCGAGCCTGTAGAAACGGGACTCCCTGTTATATCTTCGTTTACTCTTTACGCTCCTATGGCTGCGTTTGAATATTTTTTCCATCGACGACTGGGATCATCGTGCTACGCGGTGCAGCGATAAATATTTGTCATTTGAATGACTATTTTTTTGGATATGTGCAGCAGATTCAGATAAAGTATCTGGAACACGTACCGACAGCTGTTCGTTAAATTATATGGACTGTTTTCGATGAATAGCGCGCACCTGTGAAATCTCGATGGCCGTCCCGTCGCGTAGGCTCCACGACTATGAATTATTCCTCCACTCATTACTCTTCTGTTTTGCAATCGGATCGTGCCACCGAATCATTCTGATACATTAAACTTTTAACCGTTTCAATCGGCTTATAGGCGGGTCGGATTCGAAGTTCGTGCAATTTCGAACAAGTTATTCCTGATGGAAAAATTTATTTTTAA